CACTTCCAGGCAGACGTCTACTTTTCCCCAGGACTAAAAGTTCAGGAGTATATCCTCGGACCCTTGACATGGAGTTCTTGGCATTGCAACACTGGATGAGACTTTGTTCGAATGCTTCGGGCGTGGGGAATGGTTTGTCTATGTACAGTTTATTTAACATACGTTGCAGTATGGCACCATGTCTCTCAGCCCTACCTAACTGCCAATGACCATCTGTGGGGATGACATAACTTGTGACTCCAAGTTCTTGCAAGTACTGAGCAAACCCTTCACTGTTGGATTCGGTGGCACTATCAAACATGAGACTCTTAGGAAGCAATATTGTTTTCCTTGAGGGTCCTTCCATTCAACTCCATCAAACTGCACCATATCATTAAAATCCCGAGCTTCATGCAGGTGTCCTGGTCGGGAGGCTTTCGGCAGTGACACTTCATGGCATGTGTCACATGACGTGTCACGAACAGCTTGCTGTATGGCCGGTGACCAACCATGGTCGTGCAGCGCCCGTCCGAATTGCTCAGCGTTTGGATGTTCTAGATTTTTACGCGTGCGGATGATCTGTGTCTGAATGCTCACGGGAAGCGCACGAAACATGGGGCCATGCATTGGCTTCGACATGGCGGGGACATTTGGTAGCCCCCCATCAGCAGCATCGTCCACCTAAGGACGTCGACTTCCAACCATGCACCGATCTAAGCCCCCTGACTTGAGGCGGCGGTTCGAACGACATGCTGAACAGGCTTCAGGCGTTGGATCGCATTCTGCAAATCACAATTATATATATATATATCATATATATATATATGGTACACCCCCCAAAACCTACCTTTTGGACAATTTATTTCACGATTGGGGATGATAATCTATCAGTTAATTGAAAGGGCAATACCATATATATATATATATGCATGCAAAAAGTACAGGTGTCATGTCTTATTGCATGATAACTGTTGAGATGCTGACTGCACGTCATTGGTTTCAGGAAAGTACGCGTACAAACGCATTTGTACGCATACATGGCTCAAACCAAGAAACCAAGGACCAAGATTGCACAGACCTATGAAGGTGAATCTTGGTTCGGGGTGTGTCCTTTGAGACTGGTGTAATGTCCCTTTGGCTGCGTCAAACCAATATTCCTGACAAGAGTTGTATGCAATCTTGGTTCTTGGTTTCTTGGTTTGAGCCACGTACGCGTACAAGTGCGCTTTCCTGAAACCAACGTGCAGCCAGCATCTCAAGAGTCATCATGCAATAAGACATGTCACAAATATATCAATCAAAATATGACATGACTGATGTAGCAATATTGCATGAATGTAGGACTACAGTCCCATCAGGTTATTTTGATAAAACACATTGATACAACAAAACTGATCAGATTAAGCTCATACCGGTTTTGAATGAGTTTGATAGTTGGAAACATTACAGTGATGACATTGACATTAGCAAGTTATCTAGTTTAACATTGTGTATGGTGGAAGTGAAGGCATCAAATGTTTTTCAATACGATGTATAACTTAATATATGGAACGTTTTTAAGAAAACTGTTGGAAGCAAACAATGAAACATCATTTGTTATAACACTCCTTCATTCATAAGGTCAATCATGACCATATTGTTAATGAACTACGGGAAGCCGCTCTTAACAAAGATGACAACAAGAAAATAGGACACATCACCTTTGGAATGCTAGAACAATCACACAACACCGCGCGGAAGAGTTACTGCTTTAACACTTTGAGGGAGGCATGCCATTACCAGAGGGAGTTTGGAGGAAGGATTCATGCCATGCAACAAGAATATCAGAAAGCACACATGGTCAATACCTATTACATCTTAAACACCACCAACAGAAATACATTAGTCAATGGGTTTAGATATACAAAAGAGTTGTTACTTCAATATCATAAGTTTTCAATGTATGAAGCCTATGATAAACTTGTAGAAAATGATATTAAGGTCTATTCAGTGATATTCAGTGAAGAGTGATGCCTTCACGATCCATGATGATGATTTCACTAGAGTGATGGGCAAACCAAATCATTTTGTAAAATCATATCGGACTGGAATATTGAACTTTGAAGAAGGCATAGGCAACTGGAGACAAACAAACCAATCAATTTTCCAACCAAAAAATACATTTAGATATAATGATTTAGTAGCAATCCCAAAAATAGAACATGAAACAATCAGAGGTGGTGGATGCATGGGACACCCCCACAACATGTCAGCAAATTGAAGAACAAAACCCATGCATGATCGGAGCAACATTTGCTGGACCGGGCAAGAGCTACATAGGGCAGTAGTTTAAATAGATGAATAAACATGTTTTGTTTGTAGTGCCTCATAACCGGTTAAGTCAAGAAATAGAAGGTGACGCAACCTGTAACATGCTTTTTTAGAATTCCAGTTCATAATGGGGATGAACCACCAGAGTTTCATCATAGCAATTTTGATGTCATGTTTTCTGATGAAATCTATATGACCAATCTTTATATCTATGGTAAGCTTTTATACTTTACTGAAAAATGTAAGGACAATAGCATCATCATAGGCGCCGGTGATACAAAACAGTTAGAACCAACCAATGATTTAGCTAACGCCCAGTCAAAGACCACAATATGGTCAAACATGTGCTGTTCAATTTGTACTCTGAAACCTCACCAGTCATTTCAAGAACCAGTGAAATTGTCTAAAGGGTATGTTTTCCGTGTGTAGCATATATATGTTTTAAATGCATATCTGAGTCTTCCTAGGGCTGCACTTTTTGCGCCTCTAACCTAGAAGGCGCCTCTAGGAACTGAGAAGCAACTTTTTTTGCAAGATGCGATTCTTGGTATACATAGATTTCTTCCCAGTTACGTTGATAGAACATATGATAACCGTGATAACAATGAAACTTATACACTTAACATATAGGAAGAACACCACAAACGCCGAACCAGGAAACAAAACATATATAAGTTATATGAATTCAAAAGGTTCAAGCCACTATAAAACATGAAGCACATGAAGGCATGATAACTCACTGTGGAAAAGTGAGCACACACAACATGAAACTATAGATGCATATGAACTACCAATTTTCCACTTGGATTGGCCTGCAAAAAAAGACACCCACAAGTCTGGCTTTCCCCCTTCAAAACCTGCATTTCAGGCAAAGTCTTTTTTGCAGGCCAATCCAAGTGGACAAATGCAAATATGAACATGAATGATATCGCGCAATATGATAAACGCGTGAAAAACATGAAAGCCACATGAAAAACATTAAACATATGACAAACATGAAACACAAAAACACATGAAACATAGGAAAACACAAAACGCACGAAAAATAGAAACACATGAAAGCGCATGAAGAACATTACACATATGCAAAAACATGAAACACATGAAACAACGAGAGGCGGAACTTCCCGGGTAAGAGGCGGAAGGCGGAACTTTCCGGGTAAGAGGCAGAACTCCCCGGTAATGAAATTTTGGCATAGTGATAGTGTCAAGTCGACAGGTTGCTGCTTTCAGGCTCGTCTCTAACCCAAAGGGAAATGGTGTGTCAGCTTCCGTCCCGTGTCTTTTTCGAGTTCGGCCCTGATGGCTGGCTTGACGTTAGTGAAAGAAGAGAAAGACGTGGAAGAACTTGATGGTGACGACGCAAGCCTGATGTCAGAGCTCCAACGGCCGCAGGTGGGGCTGTTCTAGGTATTGATACTCATCTCTAGTCAGTGTTTTGGTCTGAACATTTCCTGGCTAAACATGTTACCTTTGTTTTCTGCCGGTTGCAGTTGCAGGCGCTAAGGTTGCAAATCCAGCAACTGCCTACTCCTATGAACTCTGCCTTGAAAGACCTCCAGACGCCAAACACCTCGGAGAGTTACGCCGGGCCTGGTGATGAAACTCAAATGACTCAAATGGCTGATTTGGGGTTGGACGCAGTTGCAAGCAAGCATGATGAAACTCTGTTTGCTTGGGCTTGACCGACAGTCTTTTATCATGTTGATAGATAGATCCAAGCTGTCGGCAGCAGCAGCGGAAGACCACCAAAAACATGACAAATGACAAGATTTCCTTCTACCAGAAAAGCACGAGAGGCAGTTTTGTTCTAAGCGGCAACTCTTGAATGGAGAGGCTAACCTTGGAGCCTCTTTGCTAAGAGGCTGAGAAAAGCAACCACCGGAGGTTTAAGGTACATATACATATATATGTGCTGTATATATATATATATAGATATATTTATTTCTAATCGCACTAGCTTGGCCTGAGCTTTCGCTCCAGTGGGATCCCGTGTGCGAGCAATCTTCAGAGAGCGCCTGGTCGGAAGTTTCTCATCCCAATCTCAAATCCTTTTGACAACCTTCTTGTTTTGTACAAAAAACCATGCAAGTTGGTGTTCCAGTGCATCTGAAGTGTGTTTTTTCATGTTTTCTCATGCATCTTCATGTCACCTACAACCCAACTCTCGACCGCGCTCCAAGTGCCCTCCCGCAGAGCTGATAATGTGCCCTCCCCGGCGTCACTCTTCGGCGTCTCTCCGCCACGTCCAGGGCAGTTGGCCCTGGACCACCTTGCCGGGAAGAACGTAGCGCTTGATGCGGATGAGCCACTCCCTGGGTTTTCCGAGCTAAACGAACTGAATATGCATGTCTGCCGCTGCAAAGAAACTCGTACAATGGATTTTTGCTGCTAGTTGGCTTAGTCGTGATTCATTCCAATTGGAGTTTTTGGGCTCACCGCTGGGCGGCGTTGACCCCCTTTCTCCTCCCGAAAGGGAGAGCCGATCAATGCCGATCATCAGTGCAGAGATGGAACAAGCCGCACTTCGCGTCACTTCCTTTTCCCCAACATGAAGCAAGTCAAAGTTCAGGTGTGAAGCTCTGAAAAACCTTGATCCCTAAAGCCACTGCCCGCTCGTAGCAATGCAACAGATTCTGCCTGGTTTTTGGAAGATGTTTAGATGCCATTCATCATTTTGTGAATCGTGATGAAGGCGGTCCTCATATTCAAAGGCTCAGAGAGTAGTCAACACTAGACTCCACACAAGCGGGGCCATGTCCTTCAAAGCGCAGGCGGGACCCAACGAAGGCAAAAACAGGGTGCCCTTCGCAAATCTTACAGAAACTATGGAAGACGTTTCGACATTCAAATCGAATCCATTCAACAGGTGACATGGGCTCATTTGTTAAACATGTTCGATGTGGCTGCCTGCCAGTCCAATGTGCAGTACAAGCTCCTCTAAAATCAAAGTCAATTTTTTTCCATTGAGCCATCGAATGCATGTCACCGTTGTCAAACCATTTTTTAAATAAGTTGTTACCTTATTCATGTTTACTCCGTGATTAATGCCAAACATTAAACCCTCGTTTTGAAGTGCTGGCAGATCGTGGTGGATTGCCGCGGCCACCTGCTTGGTCGCTGACTCCCCAGAAGACCGACGACTCACGACCAACGAGCAACCCTCCGATTCGATGCGTCGTGAGGTTTGGCATCAGTCTTGGCCAAGGAGCTGCTGAACGGCCAGTACGGACACCCAAAATTTGCAGCGTTCCGGCGTTCCGGCGCAAATGAAGCATGATGATGTGTTATGTCGGACAAAATGAAGAATCCTTGCCGAGCCAACTTTTGCTCAGCCCGATGACTTGAGGAATGTAGTCTGCGTCCGGACAGAAGACATCAACATGTCAGGGTCCCTCTACCGCAACAAGTTGAAGTATGCCAACTTCAAGAGGAAGCACATGAGTCTTGGCTGCCAGGTCAGGGTCATGCCTTGTCTTGGAAGCACCTAACAATGCGTGTGTGGAGTATAGTATAGTGATAAGTGATAACTTCCTGGGTTGTGAGTCAGTTCGAGGCGCGAAGTAGAGTGGCTTGACCAACCTTGAACATCTCGTGCCTGGTTTGCTGCTTTGTTCTGCTTCCTGTGCTTTGTGTGTTTGGCGGGGCAACTGAGGCACGTCACGTGAAGTCTGTACTGAGCGTTCAGAGCAGTTGCTGTCATTGAGCCAACAGCTAGTATCAAACAGCTCAGGAACACCAATCCTCGTCAAGGACCTTTCCACTTCCGCTCTCCTGCCAAGATCCTGTGGCGCACCATTCGTGGTATGGCCGCTGGACCATGAACATGTGGATACTGTAGGTAGATTCCATTGGACTTCTACAGGTTCTTCATGTGGGTGAGGGAAGGACGTTGGCACACGTTAGGTACTACTTCTTCGGATCATTGTTTCAGACAGAGAAACAATCTGTTGACGCAAACGTGCAGTTGGTGCAGTAGGGCCATTGGCCTTTGGAAGCGGACTTGCTTGGTCTGAGGTTCCGCACAAGACTGCCCGTGGTGCAGCTGCGCTGGACAAGTGAGGATGCTCAGATGAGATGCGGATGACATTTACCCTGCCAGCTTTGCGGCCCCATAGGTGAACATGGATTTCAAAGCCTTCTCTTGCCAGATGTTCTGGCTCTTGCTATGGCACTTTGTGCCAATTATGAGGACTTTGGCTGTGCTCACCCTGCGTTTCCATTTGGACAAAAGACAACTTCTCAAAAACCAGGGGATTTCGAGGACAGCTCACCTTAGATTTGAAGCTATGTGAGTGATGCCTCGTAGATGTGCAGACTAATGCTCAGACCTGCAAAATAGCAACAAATTGCTGTATCGAGGTTGAAGACCTTTGAGGGCATCCCACATCCATATGACCGCAAGAAGAGCCTCTTGGACGGTCACAGGAGTCATACAATTGGCCTTTTCCTTTCACAGGGTTGGATGGCCGAAACACCATTCACTGTAAGACACCCTGCGCTTGAAGGAGTCAAGAATGTAGCATTGGGCATGGTCTGTGCAGTGAAGAAGCATTCTGATTCTGGTACCCTTAAACAAAGGTAGCTCCACAGCCTCAATCTTTAGGACATTGCCTCGCTGATTGACTCAGGAATGGTGGTGTGGGCCTCAGGTAGGCAGCCCATTTGAGAGCCTCAGAAAGTTGGGTTACAAGGCTCTAGAATGCATGAAGGCTCGCACTGCTAGTGGATGATGTGAAGTGAAGCCAAAGATGCCATCCCATATTGTTGTGTCCAATTTGCAGCTCACTGTTTTGTAGTTTCGAGAGAGTCAGTAACCCGGTACCGCCCGTGATGGGCTTGACAAAAGACCTTACTGTGAGTTGGAAAGAACACGTGGGACTCCAACTGTGTTCAGTCTGAGTGCTGACAAGACAAGTAGAATACACGTGCTGCACAGCCACGTTTAAAGAAAGAGGCCTTGCACACCACTGATCAACGCGTCCTTTACTAACAACCTCAATCAGTGCCTTAACCTTCGTTGGGTCGGAAGATGGTTGGAGACTTCAAGATCTTCAAGCTGGCTTTCGTGAACATGTGCTTTGATGATTCCTTTTTCATAAGCACATCCTGTCACCTTGTCCAGCCTCTCCAGGCTTTCATCAGACATCTCAACTCAGGTGCCCAGCTGCCTGAAGGTCCTGCGCCTGCGCCCCGAGCGTCGCTTCTGCCGCCTCGGTGACCTTTCCAAAGAGGCGAACGTCAACGAGAAATGAATCACTCCTTTTGCGAAGCGTGAGAGGGAGAGAGGAAGCTTAAGTAGGCAAGAGGTAAGTAAATAGTAGCCAGTAGGAAAGCTACCAACAGCGCTACAAGGCGACGAGACACAGAATAACCCTTTCCGATTCTTTTTCTAACTAATGTTGGGAGGTTGGCTGGAAGCACGGCGCCCTCATCGAGCGCCTGGAGTCTCAACGTAAGGCGCAGATCTCAGTGTCTCCTCTCAGGCAGAAGGTACAAGAATCAAAGGCATCTAAAGCTCAGCTTGAGGAGTGACAAGCGCAAAGGACAGACTTCTACCGAAGTAGAAGTGACTGTTTTCAATCAGGCCTGTTCTACCCCTAATACCAGTTGCGGCAAGCGGACAAGTGACACATGCATGTGCAAGTGTTAAACTGTTTTTCGATTTTCGAGGAATCTATCCCGAAAGTAGCTGGAGCCCAAATAAGGCTCAACGGTTGAGATCAGAATAAGACTCAGACTCGACGTTCTTGATTACAAGAGAATTATCCCTTGATAGGTACTCGAGCCTCCCAGGGCAATTCAATCTACAGTAACATCGAGATAACATTAGATAACTAAAGTCTACAAGAGACTTTACACAATTTGATCTTGATGTTTCATTCAGACTTGATGTCCCACTGAGGTGAAGAGTGAAGCATTCTACAAGAAGAAGAGCGCCACTTTGCGATCGAAGAATGAGGCAATCTGGCGCCGGCCATCTCGCTGCCTGCGATGGGCTCATTGTAATCAAGTTGCCAGAAGTTCCACCGAATTCTGGGCCGATCACAGGGATGTTTTTGATCCTTGGAACTTGACACCTTGCACCTCCAATCTTCCAGAGGAGACCCTGTGTATAGGGGATGGAAGCACCTTGCCGAAGCGATCAGACCAAGCATCAACGGCCAAGTCACCCTCCGTCAAAGCGTCTTCTACAAGAAAGGCCTCTTTTTTGTTAACTTGTTTTCTTATCTGATATATGATATATACATATATCATCTTCCTTGTTCCAAGCACCTTATCATTCGACTTGATGTTTGAGGCGAAGAAGGCCGTGAAGCTTTCAGCTGACGAGATGAAGGTCTTGGAATCCGCTGGTTATGCGTGATTTGAAGGAGCGAAGAAGAAACCTGAGCCGGGCAGAAAAGAACCAAGCCTGAGCCTTGCACGTGCGGGCCGGTGGATGTGGGGAAATTAAACAGCAGGGGCTGTAGCTGACATGTCCTAGTGTGAGAGGATCAGGAAAACATGGAAATGGACATGAGGAAGATTATGTCTCCAGAGGAGCTTCTTTGATAGTTCCTCCAGTTTTGTCCTCCACAAATCGTGGGGGGGGGG